TGCTTTCAACCAATCCCTAAGCACAGTCAGTCATCTCTGAGTACCTAGACAACTAATGAAAAAGGCTATATCAATACAGATCAGTAAGTGTCCAAGAGGAGGGTGTATGCCATTGTTCCACATCCTTCTGGATCTCAAATCCTGATTTGAAGTCTCCCATAAAATCCTAGTGCAAAGTCAGAGCCAAACTGAGAGTGGGCTTCCTGTAAAAGGGTTTGGCTTGAGTTCCATTGCTGGAGCGCCAGGGCGAGGAAAGAGATTACTTTTCCACCTTAAAATAGTACGTAAAGGCATTTAATTATAAATTGACACTATGTAAAAGCCTTGCAGAACTCCTCAGAAGAAGGCTGTGCAGAACAAGGAGAGTTTTGCTAGTGTTAAAGCATTTGGAGAAGCAGACAACAAAAAAAAAAAAGTTAATTTTTCAGTTTCCTCAATAAAATGCAATGCTGTTATTTAGTACAGATAACAGGATACAAACGGCTTATTTCAGCCCACTTCTGTCCCTCAGTGCACAGACCATTGTACCTGAGATAATGACGCTCACTGACGTGGCAGTGTTGTTACCAGGCAACCAGAGATAAAATACAGGGTTTAATGATTTTTATTTAATGTATTTTCATGAGAAAGTACATTCTCTTTTTTCCTCTTGTGATGTTATTTGAGGTGGAAATGCTGTTTACACAGACAGATATATTTAACCATCCTCTTGCAATTTGATAAAGAAAATAATTCGAACTGGATATTCAAACAGTGAATAAGTATGTCGAAATATATTGAATGTTGCCACTCACAGACACATCATGGCCATGGCTGAGATCTCAAACTGCTATGCCAGAGTTGCATTCAGGAGGTCTCACAACAGAGAACAATAGCAGGGAACAGACGCAGCTTAAGGATGTGTGGGGCTGTTACAGATGTCTGTATACTTGTCCAGGACAGAGTAAAAACCAACGCCTAAAATCGTCCCTCAAACTCTTCAGCACTGTCATTATGCCATAGAATCATAGAACGGCCTAGGCTGAAAAGGACTTCAAACATCACCTAGTTTCAATCCCCCTGCCACGGGCAGGGTTTCCAACCACTCGTAAGAGCTGAGTAGAGCGGGACAATCACTTCCCTCTTCCTGCTGACCACCCCTTTTTTAATGCAGCCCAGAAACACAGTTGGCCTTCCAGGCTGCAGGCACACATTGCTGGCTCATGTCCAGCTTCTCATCCTCCAGGACCCCCCTGTCTGGGGGTCTGTCAGGACAAACAAAGCTGAAGCTTGGATATCTCAACCAGAAATTTGTTCAAGGTAAATTTTAAAATCCGTAACCCTCATCTGTGAGCAACAGACGTTAACCGACAACAGCACAGCCTTATTTCTTCAGCCTCTTTCACTGCTCTCTCTAAACACAGACAGCTTTGTTTAAGACAAACAGTATTTTTAAGTAAGCAACAGCTACCAGACTGTGAACCACTGCTCTGCTCTTATTCTCCACATCAGGAAGCACTGCCAAGTTACCTTCCAAATTCTCACAAAAAATAATATTTCCCATTCTTGAACAGAGTAAAATGCCATATTGACCTGAACTCAATCATATTTAATACATTAAAGAAAAACATATTTTCTACTGTGCATGCATGTCAAAAGATCTCAGAGCTCCACAAGATATCTTACAACAGGTTAACCAATGCAATCAATTCCTCCTGCACTTTAAGACTGGATCTCCAGTACTTATATCCCCTTGGAAATACAGATCTCACTAAGTCTAGTGTCATTCCACTGAAACAGATCTGGGAAAAGACTGGTGGACTAATAAAACCTAAGACAGAAACAGCATTATCGTAGAACACAAGATAATTCTAAAGCAAAATACAACATCTGTTAACAATAAATACCTGTCATAATTAAAGAATTCATGCTGGAAATCATTAATTATACCTTTCTTAAAGTATGTCAGAAAATTATTAACAAGATGTAAGCAGCTAACTGCCTAGGCAACCCGCATGAAATGATCAGCAGAGTCTGGGGGTGCACAAGCAGGAATGCAGCAGAACTGGGCAGAAAAATAACTCTACCTTAGTAGCTGACAGCACTATTATCAGTACTGAAGACATTTCCATTGGTCACATTTGTGAAGTTTCAGAAAACAACAGAGAGAGGAGGATATAAAAGGGGTAGGACTGAAAATATTTTACAATTAGAATCATTAAGACTTCGATCTGTTTATCACGTCAGCAGAACTGAGAAGTTATCCCATGGTAAGCAAATGCCAGCTCCAGAAAGGTTTTTAATCTAGCAGAAGAGAGCAAAAGCACTGGATGGAATCTAAATTAATTACAGTAAAAAGACATTTATACCAGTGAGAGCGATTAACCACTGGAACAAGCCCAAAGAGAATGATAGGTTTTCCATCTTTTACTTTGTTCATGTCACAGCAGGATACATTTTTTGATCAAAATTAACTCCCAAAATTCAAGTTATACTGTTCCACTGTACTTAAGAGAACCGAACAGAGACATACTCGTATAGAATCATAGAATTGCTCAGGTTGGAAAAGACCTTAAAGATTATCAAATTCAAATGCAGCCAAACCATACTACCCCCTACCTCTAGCCACACTCCACTAAATCATGTCCCTGAGCACCACATCCAAATGTTTTTTCAACACATTCAGGGATGGTGAATAGCCTAGTATCCATCCTTCCAATTTAACGCTTGACAAAGCTCTACTACTGAAAAAGAGACTGCTTCCAAAAGACTGAATAAAACTGGAAGTATACAAACAAGCAGAGAAGGGAAACAAGTAACCCAGCAGAGTAGCTACCAGAATTAACAAATCATGTTTTTGTGTATCTACAGCATTCACTTTAAAAGGAAAAATCTCAAAACCAGAAACACAGAAGGATGTGCTTTTTATTTCTGCTACCTAGTTACGTAGGTAGCCTCAGCTTGGTGCTTTGTACTAGACAAGCAGATGTTGCCATCATGAGTCTGGTTGTACAAGAATAAAGCTCCGAGTTCAAACTCAGAAAGGGAACGTCAGATTGAGAAACTGCAGTCCTGCATATCCCATGCTATTACTGCATTATTCTGGAGATAGGTCTGACTTGTAGCTCACAGTGCCAGGGATGGCTTCAAATCTCCACTCCTGTCTGTTTACATTAAGTTAAATGGTCCGTAGATGGGGAAAAAAAAAAGAAGAAAAAAAAAAAGCTGGGAACAGGTATCAGGAACCTCAGCTGTAAAGGGAAAATCTGAATTACTGGCCTACTGAATTTTTTTTTTTTCCTATCTCTCTGTGAGATTGAGAATTTCACCTCCAGCCTCAAACAATGCAGATAAGAAGCCCAATGAACTTTTATGCAGTCACCTCAGCTATCTTGAGATTAGCCCTAGACAGCCGCAGACTGATAACCCTCAGTACTCCAGATACAGTACTGAGACATCTCTATTCAACACTATGAATTTGAACTCTAAAATCCTGAACATAGCATTTTGAACTCCATTTCAGAAGAAAGATACTTACAAGTCAACTCGAGGTATTGTATTTAGCTAGCAATTTCTCTTAAATCTCTGCTTATGCCTCTTTGCCCATTAATTAGTTGTACAGAGTTGTAAAGTAATATTAATTATCTTGCCAAATCATGTCAGTTATAGCAGTATATAGCCGCACCAAGATCAAAGACGGACAAACTTGAAGGCAGATCTTTCAAACATTACATGGAACTATGCCAAGAAAAAATGTCACATAGTTGTTGCCCCCTGTCAAGAAAATTCTACACTATTACATGTGGATAGAAGAGTAGAGAGGGAGAATGAAATGGCATGCAGGTGGAAGACTTTGATCTACTCAGATTCTCTAAGCACCAGATTTAAGTATGAAAAGTGAGTAGCTAGAATGAAGGGAATAAAAAAGATTTTTTATTTCACTTCCAAAAGGAAAAACACTTTTAAGCCTCTCTGAAAAAAAACAGCTGTAAAAATTCATGAGGTTTTCACAAGTCAGTAGTCACTTAACAAATTCTATGGTATATTATGCTATAGTATGGTATATTTTGCTATTATACTACATAAAGAAATAACTCCCTAAATGTGTTATCTGGGGATGTTTCTGTACCAAATATCTTATTCTGGAGGTTTACAAAAACAAACAAACAAGAACATGAACTAAGAAGGGACACTTCCAATTCAACACTCTTCTTAGAATTTACTGAAAGTGCACTACAGAAATTTCTTTTCATTTTACTGTCAATCATATTTGGCTTTTATTAAATGTATAAAGAATTTACCAGGGAGTTATACCAGTGGTATAACCCAGGAGGTGACTAAGCACCACACAGTTGTTTGCTCACTCTTCTCCTTCCTGTGGGATGGGAAAAAGCTAACAAAGCAGTCACCAATATTACTAAGTTCCAACAACTTTCATGTCACCTCCAACGTAGGCTGCTCCATATAGTTTTAGACAACAAAGATAAAAGACTGAAAGACTGGAAGAAAATTATAGGTAACCTAGCCCAACTTCTTTCACAAGGCATAACCAAATGCCTGCATCTACTTGACTGACATTATTTATTTTTAGAGACCTTGTCTATGATAAAGCCACGATATGCTCAATATATGTTGTTATGTGTTTATTATCAGGTCTTATATAAATAATCTTTGTTATTTATTTCCTTGAGAGAATTCACAAGAGGCCTCAAGCACAGGCTAAGTCTTCTGTTTTTTCTTTAATCCACATATTTTTTTAGTTAATAAATATAAAACTTTTCAAAGGCTCAATACAGCAAACAAAGTCCAAGCCATAATCAGATGAAAAGTGATAAACTGATCACTAAAACTGAACACAAGGTCAGTAGGAGCTAGTCCAAGAGAACAGATTAGACCACAGTTTCGTATAAGAAATTCACCAACTAATTTAAAAAAAAGAACTCTGTCCCCAGAATGGCATGCAAGCCAAAGGGGTTTGTTGACTACAGGGATGTAGAGCCTACTGTGTTTCATCTCCTTACCTCCACCACAGTTGTCTTGGCAGCTTTGCACATTGGTTGATTGAAGTTTCTAGCAGTTTTTCTGAAATATAAATAAATAAATAAAAATAAAAATTATAATTTGTAAAACTTAAGAAGTAAACACATTTCAGAACCAAGTAGATACAAGAATCTCTGTAATATGAACACCATAGATATTACTGTTGGACATTTAAAAGTCTAATCGAAATAAGGAAAAAAAATATGCCATAATGTCTAAGATACATAAAAAATAAAATTACGTTTTGCTAAATCAGAGAATATTTACAGCTCTTTTGACTTTTAACCAGCACATTGTCCAATTGAAATTGGGAATGCTACTGATATCATTTATCAGATTCAAGAGCAGCAGCAAGCTGGGCTGTATAAAGTATTGTCATGTAACTTTTCTGCACAAAGAATAAAAATCATCTCCATAGGGAAGCAAGCACACCATCCCAAATCCTACATGTCTTCATAAATTAGACTAAGCAGCTACATGGACTTAGACTAGCAATCTGCACAGTAGAAAACTTAATTAAATTCTCTTGATTGAAACAGCTGTTCTAGTTTTGGCACCCAATGCAAGACTCTGGCATTAATCCTAAGTATTTCCACTTAGGTCTTCTGTAACAAGGAAAAGAACCTCCAGGGAGTAAAAGCAAGACATGATACGCATATGACCATGCTGAGATATGCACCAGCATCCTAGACGAGGAACAAACAAGTGATCCATTCCATCCCTTCTGTACTTTCCAGAAAGGAAATAAAATTGTGGAGCAAAACATTTAGGAAAAAATGTGTATTTTGATGGGGTTTCACTGTCTTAAAAGGTGGAATTCTGCTTTTGTTGGTTTTATTTTTTTTTCAAAATGCATGAAAACAAGACACCAAATAAGTCAATATCTCCTTTTTCTCCCCCTTTCCATAGGGACTGGTTTTTTTTCTGGACCATTCTTACTTCCCAATACCTTTTCCTCATTTTTGCACCCCTTAGTCCAATGACCATGCTTAATGGCATATCTATGCTGAACTTTGAGATGCTGCTGCCACCTCGTGGCTGCACGAGGGGTAGGGAACAGAAATGACCAAATCCCAACGTGCCATGCATTTTTACACTAACTCCTACTGCAGATACCCACAGAATGGAAGCAATGTCCCAAAACACATATCTTGAGAAATTCTCTTTTATTGGCAATACACATAATCTGTGAAGTCTTTAACAGACACTTCAGAAGGGACAGTCTGTGGCTGTGTTAAAACAAACGAATGTAAGAATACAAAAGTATGAAAGAAAAGATTTTGAGTTTATATCCTTTACTTAGTTCTCGAATACAGCCTTAGCAGTAGTGATTACAGGAAATAAATCCTTCAACCAGGCAGAATAGAAAATAAAAAGGAAATAAAGTTTCAAAACTGAATTAAAATAGCAAGGAAATTAATTTAGATGGGAGAAGATAGACAGAAATAAAGAGTTCAGTGTGTCATCCCAAGTGACTACTTTTCTGAGCAAAAGATGCTTTCAAGATCATACTGGATAATCTGACAGTAAAAGAAACTAACATAAAATTATTGTTAAATAGAGGTAAAAAGTTACTAGAAGAAACATTTCAGCATGGAAATGAGAAGAGGTAATGGGGTAGATTGCAACTCTGTTCAAAATGTTTATTTATGGCCACCAATTGTCTGAAGAAAGGCTGAGGGATCTGGGGTTATTCAGGCTGGAGAAGAGAAGGCTGTGGGATAACCTCCTGCAGCCTTGAATACTTCAAGGAGCTCATGATAAGGAGGAAGACAGATATTTTACACAATCTGAATGAGAGGAACTTGTTTTAGATTTAAGAAAATTGTTTCAGAAGTAGTTGTCTCCTGTAAAAGAAAAAGGTTTTACTCCTGAAGAGCTCTCTCCGTCATATTTGAAAAGTCACGGTGTGACTGGAAAAAGGGAAACATCATTTCGATTTTTAAGGAGGATTGAAAGGAAAATCTGGGAAACTACAGGCTGGCAACACTCACAAATGTACCCAGGAAGATGATGGAACAGACCCTAGTGGAAGACAAGTTAAGGCACATATGAGAAAGAGGTTATCTGAGACAGCCTAGTAGCTTTACCAGGGAACAGATCATGCCTGACCAGTCTGCTTGCGTTCAAACAGTGATAGTATCAGCAGACAAAGTTTGGGACTGATGCTATCTACCTGGATTTGTGCAAGGCCTTTGACATGATCCCACACCACATCCCTATTTCTTAGCTGGAGAGATATGAATTTGAAAGCTGAACTATTAAGTGAATAAGGAATGCATAGTGTGTAGAGTTGCAAGTATATAGTCTTGCACCTGGGGAGGAATAACTGCATTGACCATAGTAGGACAAGCAAAGTGATCCTCCCCCTCTACTCTGCCCTGCTCAGGCCTCACCTGGAGTATTGTGACCAGTTCTGTACTCTCCAGTACAAAAAAAAAAAAAAAAAAATGCAAGGATCTTCTGGAAAAAATCCAGCAGAAGGCCTCAAAGATGATAAAGGGGATAGGCTATAAGATCTGGGTCTGTTCAGCCTTGAGAAAAGAGTCATGGCCTGGGTTGAAAAGGACCACAAAGATTATCGAGTTTCAACCCCCTGATATGTGCAAGGTCATCAACCACCAGATCAGAGCCACATCCAGCCTGGCCTTGAATGCCTCCAGGGATGGGGCATCCACAGCCTCCTTGGGCAACCTGTTCCAGTGCCTCACCACCCTCTGTGTGAGAAAAACTTCCTCCTAGTATCTAACCTAAACCCCCCTGACTCAGTTTAAAACTATTTCCCCTGGTCCTATCACTGTCAACACATTTGAACAGCCATTCTCCCTCCTCTTTATACACTCCCTTGAAGTACTGGAAGGCCACCATGAGTTCTCCCTGGAGCCTTCTCTTCTCCAAGCTAAACAAGATCAGTTCCCTCAACCTTTCCCAGCAGAAGAGCTGCTCCAGCCCTCTGATCATCTTAGTGGCCCTCCTCTAGACCCACTCCAAGAGCTCCACGTCCTTCCTGTGCTGGGAGCCCCAGGCCTGGATGCAGTCCTGCAGATGGGGCCTCACAAGAGCTGAGTAGAGGGCGACAACCACCTCCCTCTCCCTGCTGCCCACTCCTCTTTCAATGCAGCTCAGAACACAGTTGGCCTTCTGGGCTGCAAGCGCACACTGCTGTCTCATGTCCAACATCTCATCCACCAGGACCCCCAAGTCCTTCTCCACAGGGCTGCTCTCAAGGGGCTCTTCACCCAGTTTGTACAAATACCTGGGATTGCCTCAGCCCAAGTGCAGCACCTCACATTTGGCCTTGATGAACCTCATTAGGTTCACATGGGCCCACTTCTCCAACCTGTCCTTTAGACAGGCTTCCCTTCCCTCCAGTGTCTTGACTACACGGCTCAGCGTGGTGTCATCTGCAAACTTGCTGAGGGTGCACTCAATGCCATCATCTGTGTCGATAAAGATGTTGAAGAACACTGGTTCTAAGACCGACCCCTGGGGGACACCACTTGTGACTGGCCTCTATCCTGACAAAGAACCATTGATCACAACCCTTCAAAAGAATACTGAGAGGGTATCTGATCAGTGTCCATAAATATGTAAAGTGTGGGAGACAAAAGGACAAGGCCAGATTCTTTTCAGTAATGTGCGGTTACAGGACAAGGGGAAATGGCCACAAACTGAAGCATAGGAAGTTCCACACAAGTGTGCATGAGAACTTCTCCACAGTTTGAGTGACAGAGCACTGGAACAGGCTGCCCAGTGGGTTTTGGAGTCTCCTTTGTCTGGAGATATTAAGACCCACGTGGACACCAACTTGTGCAACCTGGTTTATGGTGCCTGCTTTAGTAAGGGGATGATCGAGTCCTGCTTTGGACTCAATGATCTCTAGAAGTCCCTTCAAGCCCCTTCAGTTCTGTGATTACGTAAATTGTTTAGTTACCTATGCCCAGAGGGAGGCCAGTGATGAGTAGTGACCCCAGGGATCCATCTTGGGACCATCTCTCTTCAATATTGTTATCAATTACAGAGACAGTAGGAACAAGTGCACTCACAGCAAGTTTACTGATGACCTACTGATGACCACTGAGCTGAGTGGTGCAGCTCACACTACAGAAGGAAGGGATGCTACCTAATGGAACCTAAACAATCTTGAAGGGTGGTGACTTAATGAGGCTCAAGAAAGGCTAAGAGGAAGGTATTGAACTTGGGTCATGGCACTAGACAGCAACCCCGTAAAGAAGGAATAGGAGATCTTGGTAGACAAAAAAGGCGGTCATGAGTCAGCAGTGTGCACTTGAAGCCTGAAAGACCAACTGTATCATGGGTAGGATCAAAAGAGGGGCAGCCAGAATGGAAAAGGAGGTGATTGTCCCCCTCTGCTATGCCTTTCTGAGGCATCATCTGGAGTACAGCGCCCAGACCTGGGGCCCACAGCATAAGAAAGATAGAGAGCTTTCAGAGAAGGTCCAGAGGAGGACCAAAATGATAACCAGCGGGCTGGAGCACCTTTCATGTGGGGAAAGAATGAGGGAGCTGGGCTTGTTCAGCTTGGAGAGGACAAGGTTGCAGGGAGACCTCATTGGAAACTTCCAGTATATAAACAGGAGGGAAATCAACTATTTACACGCATAGAGAATTATAGGGAAGGGGTAATGATTTTAAATTATAAAGAGGAGATATATTAGATGTCAGGTGAAATTTTTCACAGAGAGAGTGGTGAGGTGCTGGAACAGGCTGCCAGGAGAGGATGCAGATACCCCATCCTTGGAACTGTTCAAGGCCAGGCTGGATGGGGCCCTGGGGAATCTGATCTAATGCTTGATCTAGCAGTCAGCAATCATGTCCACAGCAGTGGGGCTGAACTACATAATCTTTATGGTCCCTTCCAAGCCGAGCCATTCTATGATTCTGTGTTAAGAGTTAGGTCAATTAATCTCTCTCTTCATTTTCCAAGTATTTTAATATTATATTAACTATATAATGTATAGAAAAAATGCAGTTATGTAAATACATGTGTATGTATATACTTGAATACATCTACAAAACAGTACTCTAACCCCTATCTTTCATACAGATTTTTTTTTCACTTACTCCTTGTTGCTCTCAATATATACAACAAAAAACTGCATTATTCAGCACCTTCATGTAGTAAACTGCAACTAATTGCTTTAACACTTACCTAATCATCTGAGAGCCATAAAACAAATGAATAAAAACCAGGCATTAAACATATGCAAATCTCTCCTGCTACAGTTCAGGAAAAAACAGAGGACAAGTGTAACAGCCCAAATAAATTACATAATCTCTAGTGTAGTGTCTTTGTTCTTCACTAAAAAGATGTTTAAATTCATATGATGTCACCCCCTGGACAACTGAGAACAAACAAACTTAAAATGCTCTTCTCTGAGGACAGAATCAAGCATTCACAACACTGTCTGGTCAGAAAACTGACTTAGCTTCCTTCGGTTCTGATATACATGATCCTACACCTCTTGTATCAGCCTTCAGTTGCACAATAAAAGTGGCGCAAATTAACAGAAAAATGGAAAGAAACAACATCACTACCTTTCTCCACAGTCAACATTATGAATATGGAATAGCAGACCAAAGTTATAACTACTAATGTTTTATTTAATACTGCATTTGAATTCTCAGACATCATCAGAATAAGTTTTTTTTTAATAGCAGTACAATTTGACAGTAAGGAAAGACAACATGAATGAAATTGAAATCAGTAAGACATTATTTTGGCATCACATGAAACAAGGCTTCTTATCTTTTGTTATCTCAACAATCAAGAAAAGGGTTTCCAACTAATGAACAAGTCATACCTGAAAATGATGTTTCCTGCACGATCAGCCTTCCATGCCTTCACGAGAGCAAAATCTCCTGTAATGGACTTTTCCAGAATAAAGTGACGACCATCAAACTCTCGCACCTACAGAAAAAAAGTACGATATTGAGATGTAGATTTCTTCATTTAGATCTCTCATGTGTTTATTTTGCAGGGATAATTTTACAAACTATTTTATTTAATGCAATTCTATCTGAATAAATGGAGATCAAGTGTATAACCACAGAAAAGCACCAAGAGGTAGTAAACCTCAGGTTCATCCTAAGGTGTCTGTTTAGCAAAATACCAGAAGAACCATACACAGAACAGAATAAAATACATATTCCACCACTCCATCAACTGGAATTAGACATGCTCTTTGCAAATAATTAAAAAACAAATTGCTAAAGCAGAAGTATTGAAAAGCTTTTCACTGCCCATCAGCAGAAGCCTCGAATCTAAACAAAGAAAATTTGATTCTGAGTACACGATTCAGATCATCTGACAGGCTGAATTTCATTTGGTTCTCACTATCTTTATGATCAATACTTGTAACAATAATGTGCAGAAAGTCAGAACATGTAACAGATGAACAGGTACTATGCTAGCAGTTTTGTAAAACGAAATGCATTTTTCAAGAATAAATACAAAATTTTGTCTTTCCAAGATAAAAACTCTCTTGATTGACTAGAGACCAGAGACACACAATCTCTCATAACAATTGGGGTTGGGAAGCAAAATATCGCATGAATTATACCCCACATAGAAAACAAGGTCTAAGAAAATAGTATTCTAGCAGACATCACTAGATTATTTTAAACATAATTACATTTTCTTCACATTCACAAGAGAAGCTCAGAACTGAACCACTTTAGAGAAAAGAATCAGAATTGAATTCAAATTAGAAAATTCAACAGCGGTAAGCTCATTTTTGCATCCATTAGTTTACTGATGTCCAACAAGACTTTGCTAAACAATTAGAGCAGGACATGGTCATACTTCCATGGAGGGAGTTCAATCTACCAAAGACAAGTTAGATGAACCGTCTTTCCCCTCACAAGTTCTCTGTTAAGAGCCTGAAACTACTGAGGATCCTCCAGCCACAATGTGGCTTCTTCAAGAACGTTGTTATTCTTCATCTGGCTTTGAATGAGAGCTACTTAAATCTACTGGATTCACATTCAAGACCTCAGTTCCAAACAACACAGATATACCAAGGAAAATCAATATCTAATCTCTTCATTAGGCATTTCCATTATTAGGTATAGCACTGAATCATAGCAGAAATGAAAGAACAACAGCAAGAAGAAAGAAAACAACAATTTATCGTCCTAGAAAAGATGCAGTGAATATTTGGTGATTGCTGCCATCGAGTAGACAAGACACAAATCATACACAGAAACACTGAGCAGCATTTATTTAAACAATACAGAATGTTAGAGTATACACAGTACTGCTGTAGCATTATTTAATACTTATCAGAGGGGAGAAAATCTGGTAAAAGCATATCAAAAGTTAGTTTTGTGGGCCTGTGGAGGCAGATTTGAGATTTATGAAATGTTATTTGCACTTTACATTGATTCAGTCAAGTCACATAAGAGATGTTACTGGCTTTGCAAAAGACTGAGAAGAACAAGAAGTATTCTTAACAAATACTAAAGGTAAAAAAAAATCTTATCAAAACTATAAGGTATTTCAACAAACAAGATTCCTTCAAATAGGAAAATATCATAATGCCATAATAAGAAATCCAAGGAAAAACAACTATTGTAATGATTCAATAATGAAAATATCAGTGCATAAATCAATGCCATCCAAAGGGACCTAGACAGGATGGCTATGTGCGCCCATGTGAACCTAATGAGGTTCATCAAGGCCAAGTGCAGGGTGCTGCACTTGGGCTGAGGCAATCCCAGGTATTTGTACAAACTGGGTGAAGAGCCCCTTGAGAGCAGCCCTGTGGAGAAGGACTTGGGGGTCCTGGTGGATGAGATGTTGGACATGAGACAGCAGTGTGCGCTTGCAGCCCAGAAGGCCAACTGTGTTCTGGGCTGCATTGAAAGAGGAGTGGCCAGCAGGGAGAGGGAGGTGGTTGTCGCCCTCTACTCAGCTCTTGTGAGGCCCCATCTGCAGGACTGCATCCAGGCCTGGGGCTCCCAGTACAGAAGGACGTGGAGCTCTTGGAGTGGGTCTAGAGAAGGGCCACTAAGATGATCAGAGGGCTGGAGCAGCTCTTCTGCTGGGAAAGGTTGAGGGAACTGATCTTGTTTAGCTTGGAGAAGAGAAGGCTCCAGGGAGAACTCATGGTGGCCTTCCAGTACTTCAAGGGAGCGTATAAAGAGGAGGGGAAATGACTGTTCAAATGGGTTGATAGCGACAGGACCGGGGGAATGGTTTTAAACTGAGACAGGGGAAGTTTAGGTTAGATATTAGAGGAAGTTTTTCACACAGAGGGTGGTGAGGCACTGGAACAGGTTGCCCAAGGAGGCTGCGGATGCCCCATCCCTGGAGGCATTCAAGGCCAGGCTGGATGTGGCTCTGGGCAGCCTGGTCTGGTGGCTGGCAACCCTGCCCATAGCAGAGGGGTTTAAATGAAATGATCTTTGTGGTCCTTTTCGCTCTAGGCCGTTCTATGATTCTATGATAAAAACAATTATCTTTACCCGTAAGATGTTCTTGAGTAAGAGATTACACTCGTTGCAGCATAATGAGAACTCAGAGCGCTAACCTCATCCTCATTTCTTCAAACACAGTCATAGTACCTGAAACCTATTCCCTTCTTCAAGATTTCCACCTAATTTCAAGTTCATGTTTCTCTGTTGGAGATCACAGAGATATCTTTGTAATTTTGAACACTCACACTAAATAGCGTTTCATTTTGTCGAACGTTTCCTGGATGCATCAACTGAGCTTTTTGTGGTTTAACAAGAAAATGCCCAGTCTCTTCTAACGCTGAGGCTTTGGGTACAGCTGCAGGTATGGCCAGAGAATTGGGTAAAGTGAATCAAGAAAGTTTTTCACCTGAGTCAGTTTCTTGATGTTAAGTCACTCAATGCTCCAAGAAATGTGATACACTGCAGGGGACAGGAATGAGCAGAAGGAGGACAATTAATGTAACTAGTAACAAGCCACACCATTAATCCAACATACTGAAGTTAAACTTGGCCAGAAAAAAAACTTAAACAGCCATTTATCTTGGAATTCTGTAAGAAATTCATTTTCAAAAGCAGATTGCTATAAACAGATTGACATCTTACCTCTCTTGGTTGGCTAGCAATAGCAATGGTGCCATCTGAATTGTATTTGATAGGTGCCCCCCCTTCCTGCACCAGTGTCCCATAACCTGTACTGGTGTAAAACGCTGGGATTCCTGCTCCTCCTGCTCTAATACGTTCAGCAAGTGTACCCTGTGGAAAAAACACATTGAAGACCTAGTCATTTAGAAATAACAGATCGAACTCAGGTGAATTATTTGATTGGAATTACTTATATATTATGTTATTTGTAACTTTGACCTTAAACTCCGCAGACCACCACATGCACTACTTCTTCCCACTTTAGCTCTCCTTTGTGGAACTGGTACTGCATATGGCAATAAATGCTTTACATCTAGTCACCAAATGTTCAAGAGCACACTGTAACTCAACTCAATGTCAACTACCAGGATTATGCAACTTCTCTCCTTTAGCTTTTTTCCCAGTCCATCACTCTTATTTAGAAGAGTGTAGAGCTCTTTTTCCTACATGGATGGTAAGAATTTTTAACTTTTATCATCAGTTCAATATGTTAACTTCTTCTTAAGGTGTTGGATAATTAAACAAATTCCTTTTTTCAAGTTGAAAGAGTCACACTCAATAGACTGAAAAAGGAAGATTGGTCTGGATACCATCTGCAAAGAATGCCCAAAACTTGATAGAACTATTTGATTTGAATGTATTTGAATGCCCCATCTGTACTGTATTCTATAATCATCCACTACATAGATACTAACAACTCAAATTCTTTGTTAGCATTCATTGCAGACTGATGGTCGAAGTTGTATCAGCCTGCTTTTCACTGATGTCCTTTCCCAAATATTTTTTTCTGGACTTGAAGCAAGAAAAGGCCAATCACAGTCAATTATCAAGCATGACCGCTTCCAAAACATGGGTTGTGTTTTCCTCAGTAATTTCTGGAAGAAACACAGTGAATTCTTGTAGGTTGCAAAGCGAGGACAGAAAAAAAAAAGACAGTTATAAACCACGCAATGATACTGAGCTCTGAGTTTCAAGCAGCCCTGGCATTTCTAGATCTCACCATGATCTCTCCCTCACTGCAAAACAAGAACATAGTGCTCTCCAGTTTTACCTGAAGTCATAAAAAAATCTAAACAGCATTTTCCAAAAGGCTATTTTATCTTAACAAGAACATATAAAATCCCTGCATCTCTTAACACATTACTGACATTCACTGTTCACCAGTGTGGACTGCAGACCCACAACTGTCATTCAGGATCTACTCAGCTCTTAAGTGCATTCCACAAAGCAAATCACAAGCCTAGGGAGTACAAGATCTTTTGGATGGAATTACCAAACATGAAGTAGGAGGATGGAAAAGATGAATACTGAGGTAACACAGTGGTGAAAAGTGTGACTTCTGAAAAGTGAGAAGTACCTGCTTATTTCCATGCCAGCTGACAGAGTATAGAGATTTCCTGTCCACCCCTGCGCTTCTTAGAGACAGACCAAAGAAATGTAGGCCAAGGACTTCTTCACAAAACTTTACTAATGTTGCTCTTCCCAATGGTTTAAATGAATAACTGTTTAAAGTTCAAAGGCTTTGCTTCACACTAACATGCTGCAGAATTCGATCTAAACAGAATATGACTGATACTCACAATTTTAGACTGTATTGTATGCTAGCTATGCAAGTACCTTGGCAGTGCTAAAACACTAGAAGCAGGCATGTTCAAGCTGTGGTCCACATGCAGCCCACCCCAGCTGGCACTGTGGCCATGCCCCTGCTCTGCGCCATCATCTGCCCCCACCACTGAGCAGCCCGACCGCTCGCACCACTCTGCAATAGACAAGCATCAGTGCGTAACGAGTGCTGTCTGAACTGCACCAGGGTGCAGGGAGGGTGCTCAACTCACACCAGAGAGCTGTGTGTTTTGATTCATTGGCCGAACACAGTGCTGTGAACAGCAGAAAATACACAGCCGTGCTTTCTGTTTTGATCAAGGAACTTGAGAACAGGTTTCAAGATTTTTTATTTGCAACTCCATTTTCAGTTGACATAGCCACATTACATAAGAATTTTCAAATGGAATGCACGGAGTTGCACAGCATGCAGGCTCTAGCTTACTGCAGCTGAAAATGCAGAGCTAATGGTGGTGACTGTTGAAAAATAGTGTTTTGTAGTTGAGATTTCTATCAAATATTGTTGTTATGCTCTTTACATTAGTTATAGTTCCATGGAAACATAGGAGGCATTACTTTGGAGCAGCCCTCATGTACATGGCGCAAAACAATTCCTGTTCACTCAATGTGGCCCAGGAAAGCTGAAAGTTTGGACATCCATGTCTTAAAGCTATGGTGCTATAAAGTGAAGTTGTAAATATTGGATCATATTGAGATTTAACACAGATTTAACTAACAAGCACAAAAAACTTACAGTATTCTGAATTTGAAGTCTGTTCTTTCAAATCCTACCCACTAGATGGCAGATACTGCTCAAACACTTTCCCCAAAAGCACGCAAAGCTACCATCACTTGGTTATACAGGGATTTTCTATCTTTGCTCCCCGGTATGAGCCACAGCAGACAGATTTCACCTGTTTATCTACCATCCAAAAGGTCTTATGAAAAACAAACATTGTGCTAAAACATAGATAAGTATATATATTTACTTCAGATGAACGCAAGGCATACCATGCCATAAATCACAAAATTTAACTGATCAGTTCTTAATCTCACAGTTGCACTCTATAACTTAACGATCCTAAAACAGCAAATTCCACCTGTTTTTACAGAGAAAACATTAAGATTGCACATCAATTTTAAAAAGCAGTTAAGGAACATTCTAATCGTTTTTTCAATGAAAACATACCACAGCTCTGGATAGACGACTTACCTGAGGTGTAAGTTCAACTTCAAGCTCACCAGATAAATACTGGCGTTCAAATTCAGCATTCTCTCCAACATATGATGATACCATGCGTTTTATCTGCTTAGTCTGAAGCAGAAGACCAAGTCCAAAATTGTCAACACTGCATAGAAAAACACAAGGCAATATTGGGTGATTAAAATAGTTCTATTGTATACAAATACAATATCAATGTATTTAATGTTTATCAATGGTAAACTTTAATGACTTAAATAGAAAGGGTAGAGCCATCTTCAAGGATTTCTGACATGAGGAATTGGACGGACACACAAAACCAATATACTGATATTTAGGAATTCATTTCTCAGACCTCATCCCTTCTAAGGCATTGAAGAAATTCCATATGCAACAGCTATAAACACCATCTTTACAAGTGATGATATGTTACACAAATCCTCCTTTAAAAAGCCTTACTACCTAAGAGTCACACCAGATACAAACTGGCTCTTAGTAAACAAAACTAAATTTTTGTTTAGACTCTTCTTACATTAAATTGCCAGTTAAAACGATTGTTCAGCAGCTCAAGAAGAAAGATACATTTATAGTGATGGACTGTACCAAAATCAAAAGAATATTTATATTGTAACAATAAATATTTCACTTTCTTATTTAGAAATTGTCTACTGTAGCAAGAGACATTAACATTGTAATCAAGAAGATTAAAGAATTACATAACAGTTTGGGTTGGAAAGTACCTTAAAGCCCATTCAGTTCCCATGTCCTGCCATGGACATGGTTGTTATCCATCAAGTTGCAGAGGGCCCCAGCCAACCTGGACTTGAGCACGTCCAGGGATATCAACTTTTTACACAGATAGAGAACACTAGGGAAAGGGGGAATGGTTTGAAATTAAAAGAGGGGAGATTTGTATTACGTGTCCAGGTGAAACTTTGCAGAGAGAGTGGTGAGGTGCTAGAACAGGCTGCCTGTTGAGGCTGTGGATGTTCCAGTCCTGGAGAGGAACAAGACCAGGATACATGGGGCCATGGGCAACCTGATCTAGTGCCTGATTTAGTAGCTGGCAACTCTTCTGGCGACACTGGGGTTGGAACTAGATGATCTTTGTGGTCTCCCTCAATACAAACCATTCCATGGATTTTATCATATACGTTGTATTTAACAATGCCAGTTTAATCTGAATGCCAAACATAACAAATATCCTCAAGTTCCAATTCCTCCAAATGTTTCTAAATTCAAATCTTCTCAAGATAGACAATCTTGAGCACTGTTAAAACTTTTGTCATTCTATTGTGCACACAGATAGGACAAGAAAACCATTATGTTATGATATAAAGGCAGAAATAAACAGAGACCATATTACAAACATTTATTTTCTGTTTCTAATACATTATGCAGGATATTGGCAAACTGGTACAAGCTCTTCTACTTTTCTGTTGGTCTCTAACAAATGAGTGGAGAACTCGGGTCCTCCACTCTCACTATAGAAGAGATGCCATAACCCAAAATCAGCTCACAAAAGTAATGTATTTGTGTATTTGTCATCAATTGTCTCGACCCAATAAGACAATTATTCACAACTGGCTTCATATTTCAGAATAAGAAATAGTGAAAAATATTAAAAGTCCTAAAAGAAACCAGATCCAGTGTTTGCATTATAAATACCTTATGGAAAACACTTACAATAAAAAATTTTGTTAATTGCTTTAATAAAATATATCTCTTCTCAATATTAATTTTGTTCTCTTGGTATTCTTCACCTACAAGAGTTCTACTACTTTAGATAGCCAGAAATGAATTCTTACCACAGTGGCCACAGAAGAAAGTAATGCCTTAGACTACTATTCCTCATGCACTATTCCAACTACTGTTAGGGATATTTCCTAACAATGGTGTTACATACTACAGCAATGGGGGGAAAAGAAAGAAGGAAAGAATACATATAAATTAGGTATGTAAAAGTAATATTAAAAACAACAACAACAAGACAACCCTATATTACACATAAAAATAATTAAATAAATATCATCTTAAAAATCCAGTCATGGTGCCGAGTAAGCCAGGTAGTATTTGTTTTGTACACTACACATGTGCAGATCAAAGGAAAGAACCTGCTAGGAAACACACTAACACTCCATCAATTTAGGAGTGATTTTAAACATTCCAGCTACACACTCCTGGCATCCTTTCAAAAGGCCAGATTCAAAAAGTTACCATATGCACTTTTTTTCTAGAAAAGCAGTATTTAATTTCTATCCCAAAGCTTAATACTGTTTGATTAACTTACAAAACTGCAGTATTTCAGTTAAATAGTACTAAACGTACTAAATAGCATTTCACACTTCAGAAAGCTCCACAAACACAAATGGATCAACAAAGAGCATAAGCTTACTTCACACAGACTTCCAGCATCTCAGTACGTGAGAAGCTTATTTCCTTAAGTTTCAAGGAGAATCAGGTGAGCAGGAGGATGCTTTTGAAAGTCACTAACCCAAAGTCACTAACGAGATCACACTGATCCTCTTTTCCAGGATGCACCCAACCCAACTCACACTGATACAATAGCACAACACTCTTCCTGCCTGCAAGCATTGCAGTACTGGCTCCAGTGTTGCGTGAGAAGGAAAAGGGGCTGAGCAGAGAGAGCAGTACCAGCATCAGCTATTCCTTTTCTACCACAATACTCGAAACTACCACAAAGTAAGATATGAAGTCAGGCTTCCCAACTGCATCAATAACAGGGATTGTTTTAAGATTTGGCAACCTATTTCTATGCACACTCAATCAATTTGGAAACTACACAGGTAAGTAAAGCAACATTTTCTAGTATAATCTTCTACATTTATTTTACGCACTCTAGATGTAAGACCATTCAAAATACTTTCTCCATTCCCCAACTCTGCCCTATAAATAAATCCAGCTCTGATGCAATACCATACAGTGGAAACTGTCCCACTGCCAAAGCCTTAAGAAATGTGTGTTGCCTAGAAACAACCTATATTTCTAAATCCCTTCAGGAAAAACTTTCAGCAATTTTGAAACTACAAACAAAAATAAAAATATGAAAGCAAAGTAGAATGAGGAATCTTGGGGGCGAAGAATGGGAGAAAAATAAAAATAAGCACAACTATGTGAGTGTCACTCAAACCAAGAGAACTCCTAATAAAACCATCAAACTCTAACTTCTCTTTATTAAAAAATAATGAGCAAACATAACAGATCAGCTAATATTTGAAAGCGGTTGAACAGGGTTGCATAAGCAGAGTACAGTACAGCAAAAGAAGTTAAATAACAGTCTGCAGAGTTTTATAGTTGAGCAGTATTTTAAACTGTCCATAAACCATAGTTTCCTATGCACCATTCACAAAGTTTATACTGCTCTTAGCATTTCAAAACTTGCAAGCTATTTAACCAAAACAGGCAGACATGAGACTTCTGCATGCAGAGCATATTCTGACTGCACATACCCATGAGAAAGGGATGGCAACAGACGGTTGTAATTACCGAAGAAATTTCTGCCTCTTTTCACCTAGATTTAAACTGTTTGCTTCCACAGTTGAAGCAACAGTACTGTAGCATATTATGTTCAGCAGGATTTTGCAGGTCTTCATGCCTGGTCCCATGGAGATACACTTGATTCTCTCATCTGCTGCAGGAAAGTTCCCTCTCAGTGAGAACTCTGCAGCTACAAAGATGTCTATAAGAAATTAAATAGAGTTGGATAAAAGTTCTCACACTCATCCCAAGCTTTTTCTCATTTCTTAAGCCAATCTTTTTTCCATACATCAAAGGAGGTCCATTTAAAAAAAAATAAAGCATTGAGGATCAGTCAAGAAAGCACATAGGCCATGCAGCCTTATTTTCCAAATACAAAAGTAATTCCATTACCAGGGGAATTTCACCTTCAAAGCAGCACTGCAAAACTCAATCATTTTTACTTATACATTTATTTTGTGTGTCAGTTTCTGAAAATAAATATTATGATATCCATCTTTTCTAAGGACTCAATTTGCATTCAGCTGCCTATCTGAATTACTGAATTAACTCTTCCATCTTTCATTCACATTAGTTTTTCTTTCATTTTGAACATTTCATTCTGATTTACATTTCCTGTATTTTTTTCTTCCTTTCTGAATATCCAAAGAAAATAACATTTCATGTGTTCAGACATGCAAGTGTCTGAAAGCTGCTGTCATTTCTATTCTCTTCAACTTTGTCCTTAACCAGACATCTCTATCCTGGAATAAAATTAAAAAACAACTACTGATTTAGAGAAGTTTATTACAATGTAAGGTTGCTTTCCATTTTTTTCTTCTTTTTTCTTAATAGTGATTGTTAGCTTTCCTTTTCCATATTGTGTTGCTTTCTTGGTCTTTTTATTTAGGGCACAAAAGTTTCTTTGAACTTTACAGCTTTGCGCTGAAAACGTTATAACTAAATATATGCCTTGCAGGTTATGTCCCTCCTATCAAATGATAGGAAAATATCCTTCACTGAGTAAATGGAAAGAGTACATCCTGTATATATGAATCTAAATTCAATCACTTAAAAAAAAAATGAAACAAAGGTGGGCATAATAAAAAATGTGTTGCCCTGAAGAGGAAGCTTTCATGCATGCCGTCAGAAGGAAAGTGCATATTAGTGCTATACAGAATGGTTTATCCTCAGAACTGCCAAGATTTCTAGAAGATTCCTACTCTATAAGGATGAAACCTGAATCTACAGAATACACGAAACAAAAACAGAATAAGAGATCTAAAATGGCACCCTTCAAGAATGTAAGTAATCCAAGTTCATGGTCTCCATTCTACTAATAGTGACCAGAAAATGGAATAGCAATCAAGTGTCTCTTGTTTAGCAACACATTACTTTCTATTGTTTTATTCCTCCCAGATCAGTGAAATCTTCCTGTCAAAAACTACTGTCAGCCCTTTTAATTAAAAAATTAACCAAAGAAGACTCCCAGCTGGATATAGCCCACAAATTTCAAGTATACCTACAAGCAGTCAAAACTACATGCCAAAGTTGCACTCCAAATAACTTTAAGGTATTTGGCAGTTCTCAGACCTTTATGGCTTTTGACTCTCAAGCAAAATACATTATGCAGCATCACAGAGAAGATGACTATATCAAGTTTCCACGCTT